ATGATGGTATGTTTAATATTAACGTACAATGTTATCAGAATATATCACAAGTCTTTCTGACGTCAGCTTTCATATTGTGGCCTCCATGTACGTGCGGTGTCGGTATTCGGGAAAAAATCCGATGCGGTTTGCGGTTTTTTTTGGCGTATATCTGTGCGGTTTTGCGGTTTTCGGACCCCCCTCACGCCCCCCTCCTCTAGTCAACTTGAACGATTCTGAGCAACACGACAGTTTTTCATAAACAGTTGTCACGGAATCTTGCCTCATTTGACTCGCACAAGCCGTTAAATTCTCTGCAATGCTATTACTTCTTATCTCCTCGTAAACCTTTCTGGTTGTCCCATTTTTCCAGAATATAGTGGACTTTAGAAGAGAGTATAAAGGGTCAGTGAGCGACAATTATTTCTGAAGAAGTCGCTCGCTTTCTAGTTTCTCCACGTGCCTGAACTCAAACAGTGATCGCCGCGTTACAGATTTTCCCGCCTTTTCATACCCTCACTTCGTTTAGATCAGATTGGAGTGTCCACGATTTAAGAATTGAATAAAGCAATAGCCATTTTATGTTTGATCTACCAAAATTCTACGGCAAAAACGCCGTCCTCAGTATGTCCATATAATAAAAAGAACATTACACGTTGCCTCGAAGATATGAATTTTATGTTCTCGTGGCCGCTCACTCGTGAGATATTGTTCTGCCACTAGAACATAAAATTAATATCTTCTCGCCGCCGTGTAATATCCTCTCTCTATATATATATTTTCTGTATTATTGTAAACCATCTTATGTTAAGTCGTTTTCTGTAAACAGTGTGCAATAATAAAAAACTGAACTGAAACCGAATCGAATTCATTTTTTGATAAACCATTCTGTTTGTTTTGGTAACACTTAAAAAGACATCTATAAAGCGTTCATAGTTTCCTTTTGAAGGGAACTGCGTTTTAACCCTTTGACGCCCAAGTAGCCATATACGGCCACTTAATGGTCGTGCTCTTTGTACCACTTGTGACGTCATCAATTTAAATATCACGTGATATTATTGATAAGCAGATGGTAATACTAGGCTAGGCTTTTCCGCACAATGGTCAGGCTTAGATATCGACGACATTCTGATGTCGCAAATCGAAAGACAAGGTTATCAGTTTTGGTGCAAAAACGGTTGTATAATGGTCCACTACGCCTATCATCGATCAAGGTCCATTTCTAGGCTTCGCCCGTAAGTAACATCCAACTTTTCACGGCAGCCAGAAAGAACATACAATGCAAAAGGTAGCCAGT